TTATGTAATAAACAATCTAACTATTTTTTTAGTTTAATCGAAATTAAGCCAAATAAATTTAACACATTATTTCACTGTGGGGTTTTAAATCCTTATAATAATTGAAATGGATTAAAGTTCATTTTTCAAATAACTATCTTAAAAGTGAGACTTGTTTCTTGAAAAATTAAATTGCCAAAAATGTCATATGCTATAATTAATTCTAAGGCAAATAATGTAATTTTGTCACAACTGTTAGGGAGTTATAAATATTAATAGTTACAATCATGTTTTCAATCAATTATTTTTTATTCTACTTTACTTTATTATTTATTTTATCTATGATCTTTTATTATATTTTTTACGTATTCAATAATTTAATTTCTTGTAGTTGATATAAAGATGTTAAGATTATCTATACAAATATGTAAGTTAGAAATAAAAAATAGAATAAAAATTACGGAAAATGTATTTTTTAAATGTAAGAAAAATATTATTTTTAAGATTTTTTAAATAAAATATATTTAATTTCACAAGTGTACAATATATAATGCACCAATGAAAATATCATCTCTAATTTCTAAATATCATATTTTTTACTATAGATTTTTTTGGATATAGTATAGTATTAAAAAATAGAAAATGAATAATTTAGTGAATATGTATATGTTTAAGAATGATTGAATGAAAAAAAAAATCTTCAACATATACAAAAAGTTAGTTTTTTGTGGAAAAAATTATTTGTTAGGTGAAAATATATAATCTTAATAAAATTATTTTGTTCAAATTATTCACTAAAACAATATGCATAATACAATTTAAGTCTGCTAATAATATGTATAATATAAACGTTAATTTATGATATATGTGTTACATAAATTAATCTACCATTTACTTTAATTGTAATATAAATACAAATATAGTAATTATAAAAATAAAATAAAATAATTTAAAACTCATACATGTACTTGTCAGAAAATATATAGTTGTATTTAAAATAAGTTAAATAAAAGTAAATAGTACATTTAGTTTAAATTTATATTCATTAGCCAATCTTATTTATAAAATCATCCATAAATTATAATTTTCAAATCACTTCCTTTATAAAAAATATTGACAAATATATAAAATAATATTAAGATAAAAGTAAATATGAAAGAATCATTGTATTATAAATAATTTGAAATAGAATTATTTAATTATCACTATTAGGATATTCTTGAAAATCTGAAAATGATAATGAATGCATGACAATGTTAGGAGATGCAACAACAATTTATTTTAATTTGAACAATATATATAGATAGGTTCATTCAATCAACCAATGTTACGACAATATATATATAGATAGATAAGTACCTTTAAGTAATCAAGGATGTTATTGTTCTAAATAATTATCAAATAAATTTTCTTTTTTTTTTAATAATTACGACTTTAAAGATATTTTCAAATATTTATATCTCTTATGTCATTATATCAAGAGAGAAAATATATATCTTAATATTATAAGTGCAACATAATTGAATTTGCAACCGTAAAATTGAAATAATAAAGAACAAAGCATTCAACCATAGTGTGGTAACTTACAATCAACAATAAAAAAATGATAATTACAAATTATAGCTATAGCAAATAAGAGTTATTTTTCAAGAGTATTACGAAAAAGAAAGACATTAAAAAACTATATTATATTGACAATAGTAATGTCATTATTTTCAGCATATTGCCGAGATCATTAAATAATAAAATCAAAGACGACATAAATTTCTTTAGCATTTAAAATTTTACAAAAATAATATTAATTTTATTTTAGATTTCTAACTCAATATTTATTTAATGTTATTTGTCATAGAGTTCGTTTAATAGTATTAAATAGTATTAATGTTGACGAAGATATAACATAATGTTAAGATAAAAAAAGAAAATGAATGAATCTTCATTACATAATTTATTTAAACTGGAATTAGTAATTATTCACATTTAGAATAGTCTTGAAAATTCGAGAATGAAGATAATAGATATATGACAATGTTAGGAGATACAACAATAATTTATGTCGGAAAAGATATATAGATAGATGGGTAGCTTGAATCAATAAAAATGTCATTATTCCTATGCTTTTCAAGTAAATTTTCCTTTTGAAATAATTAGTTAATTAGACTTGAATTAAAGACATTTTCAAATATTTATGTTCTCTTATGTCATTATTACTAGGGAATAACTATATATATCTAAGTATTATGAAATATTATAATTGCAAATATAATTACACTTGTAACCACATTAATCAAAATAATTGAGAACGAATTATTTAGACATAGTTTGTTAGCTTCCAATCGACAATAAATAAAAAATAATCATTATAAATTATAGTTATAGAAAATTTGAGTTATTTTTCAAAGAGTATGATGTAAGAGGATGACATTATAAAGCTATATTATGAAGACAATAATAGTGATCATTATTTTAAGCACAATGAAGATATCATTAAATAACAAAATCAACTATAAATTTTTTTAGCATTTATATTTTCACTAAAAAAATATTAATTTTATTTTTGGTTTTCAACCCAATGTTTTTTTTTTTAATTTTATCCATTATAGAGGTCAGATAATAGTATTAAATACTATATTTCATTATTCAATAAAATACACCATTTTTTGTTAAACTAAATGAAAGAAATTCATATTATACTTTTAAATATAAACTTGATACTAAAAATAATTATTTTATATATATATATATAATACTAAGTTTTCTAAATTGTGGAAGCATCATACTAACTTTTCTATTTTTTTCTCTATTTCACAAGACAAGTATCCACAATAAATAATAAAAATACATCCATGATAAAATAAAAAATAATTATAATGTCACAATACTAAAATAATCAAAAGAAATAATGAAATGAACAAATATCCAAAAGTTACATTTCTTTTTCTTGCAATTTTCAAGTTAGATGAATAAATATATACTCTTGTAATAAATAAATTAATTTGTGGATGATGAAGAATAATAGCTAGGATGAGATTAATATAAATTTTATATGCATGAAAAATAATTGTATATGATGAAGAGAAATGGAAGAGTTATATTTATAAAAAAAAGAAAATATGTGTATAGTTGTAATGTGATTTTAATTTAAAATTATAATATTACGTCTATATCTTTCAAACAAAAGTTACATTTCATTTTTCTTAAAGATAGTATTGGTCATTCAAGTTTCTATTTAAATGTGGTTGGAGAGTTACAAATCACAATTATCAATTCTAATTTAAAATCACAAATTACATTTATGTCCTTTAAAGTAACATCTTTTGAGGGCAATATAGGCAATTCAAAATTTTCAAGAAATAACTCATACTTTTAAGGTTCTTTGTTTCATTAATTTGAGAATATTTCCTTCGTAATTGTATTTTTTTGTTTTAATGGTTTGTCAATTGCTTCGGAATTAGGTCTTGCTGGTTGAATCCGCACATTTGTTCTGTTTGTCAATTTTAGTTCAATGTGCACGCTAATCTTTTGATGATTAAAAAAATGTGTCGTGTTTGATACAACTTACACATAACCTATGCGATTTGTGAAACAATGATTAGAAACCAATACAGTAATATCTATTTGTCCAAATTAACTTAAAAATAATTTGTTATATATTTGCATGACCGATTAATAAATATACAAGGTTATAATGACGTCTCTTGATTTTTAATAATTTTAAAGACAATGTAAGAATAAAAATAGTTAGAATTTACCAAAACTGTTGTTAAAACATATAGTTACCGAACAAATTGAAATGTAACAAGCATGATCCAAAAACATTTATATCATTCTAATCATAATTTATATAAGTCTAACCAAAACTTTGCATCGTTATTTGGTTAAACACGAAGTACATAGTGAAAGTTAGACAACCAAGATGTTTATTTGTTTTTTTAAATTTACTTCCTATTTTTATTTTTTAAAACCTTATCAAATTTTATGAAGGAAATTAGGGGCATGTAATGTAAAATTATTTATCAAATTATCACATGTTTGATATTTTTTATTTTTTATTTTTTTTGCGGCAAAATTTAAACATCATCCATAACGATTTTTTTTCTTCTGTCACCGGTCAATAGTAAATTCAAGACAATGAAAATGATGATTTAAATGTGAACAAACTTTCTACCCATAAAATAATAAATTTAACGACTGGATAGAGGGCGATTCTACCCGGCTTTGCACAATTACATAATACAAAAGTAAATGTTAACATTGGGAGCATACATTACGCTTCAGCATTCAAAATATTATTATTTCATCTGCATGTAACCATCCTTTATAAAATACTCAGCTTCATTTAAGACAATGAAAATAATAATTTAAGTGCTACACAAATTTTCTACCCATAAATGAACAAATGTAATGACTGAATATCGGCCGACTGTTCGTGCACAACCGATAAACAACTAGTATATATAGATAGATATAGATTTGTATACTTATTAGCCTTTTGTATTTCATAATATAATTTTCGTTGGGCCAGGTGCTGCGCGGCCCAAATCTCTCTCTCTCAAAGGCAAGATTAGGGTTAGGCTACTCCCTCATCTTTCCTCAGATCTGGTAATGACAGCAAACCCTGAGGTGGTACAATCAACTCCGGTGCCCCAGCTCTCAAAATCTCAGAGTTTTTCAATCATGGATACTGCTGCGGCACAATCAATTACGGTGCCGAAATCAACCAAAGTCTGCGTCGTTTGCTCTTACTCATATAAAGAGGCGGTGACGGACGCCGTAATAATCACCGATCTGCAACTGGAAGCAGGCGGCGATGTTAGTGATGAGTCGTTCATCTCCATTCGCCCCACGTTTCTCATCGATAAAGACTCTTTCGACGGCAGCATCCACACTTTCTGCGTTCTCAATACGACTCTTTACATGATCGAGATGGGCTTCCGTAGAGGCGGCGCCCCCGGCGAGGAAAGTCGGTGTATACCTGGGATCTGTCGCCTTACCTGAAAGACGGCGGCGACGACTTCCGTATGTTGAGCAAAGACGTGCTGCTGGCCGCGCCTGAAATGCTGCACCCCAAATTCTTTCCTTTCGCCACCCCCACGCCGGACGGAAAGAGGATTGTGGTATTTTCATCTAAGATGCCATTTCCCACCGAGAATCCTAATGAACAAATCGACTTCGAGGTGTACGATCCCAAAAAAGGGGGCGGCTATCCATGGCGAAAGCTCCCGTCTTTACGGGATAGCCTGCATGGGACGCGGCGCGACATTGAAATACTAGGATTCACGTTCGTCACGAACTCCAAAATGCTTTTCCGAACCACTGAAGGAATTTTTGTATTTGATATCGATGTGCCGGATCTCGGTTGGCGTAAGGAGGATTTATATTTTGGGGCCAAGAAAGTCCCTTTCGGAGGACCTTTTTTTGTAATCGGTGATGATGATGATGATGATGAGATTCAGCTGTGCGTGGCTGGTACCGGGGCTTACGACATTTCCTCTTGGGCCCAGAGGGAGTACAGGGAACGCCTGTTTGATTGGAGCAAGGCCTCTCAATTTCCTATATCATCGTTCGCTCGGGATTTCAGGTTCGAAGTACGGCGTTTTATCAAGACCGATGTGGTTTATAACGAGGAGCGTCGCCATCTTCAGGTGGTGCACTTGCAAACGGCGGTAGAAAAGGACACTTGGATCGCATACATACTTTTGGATGTGTCTGAATATAATCTCGAGAAATACGAAGAGAATTATAGGAAGGAAGTTGTGGAGGGAGAAGGTCCTGAGAAGAAGAAGTGCCTGTTGAATGCTAGCGTTGTGAAGTCATTCAAGTTCAAGCTTGACAGAGAGATGTGCTGGAGTTTTATTCCGGACTGTCTGTCAGTTATTCAAGCTTAAGTGTATTCAAACTGTGTGATGCCGACGAGAGTGCGTTAGCATTTCTCGACATACATGACGCCTTTGGTGTGATTGTTATTATATTTATTACTATCATTTATGTTTATGTCTATTTATGTTGTGTTGGCTTGTTTTATTTGGGCTTTTTAAGTCTTTGTGGTGAGGACTTTCAACAACAACAACAACAAAGCCTTTTAGTTCCAAACAAGTTGGGGTAGGCTAGAGATGAAACCCAATAGAAACAGTAGTATAAAAAAAAAAAGAAGATTGGAGCAAAAGAGAAAGGAGCAAAAGTCACGGTTCCAGCACGTTGATCGCTAGTCTCCAAGCGCTCCTATCCACCGCTAAATCCTTGGAGATATTTCAATCTTTAAGGTCTCTCTGAACCGACTCTTCCCAAGTGAGTTTAGGCCGACCTCTACCTCTTTTAACAATATTGACCCGCTGTAGAACTCTCCTGCACACCGGTGCATCAGGAGGCATCCGTTGGACATGTCCTAACCACCTCAGCCGATGTTGAACCAATTTCTCCTCAATTGGGGCCACCCCGAACCTATCACGAATATCCTCATTTCGGATTCTATCTCTTCTTGTGTGCCCGCAAAACCAACGCAACATCCGCATCTCTGCTACACTTAGTTGTTGGACATGTTGCCTTTTTATAGGCCAACATTCAGCACCGTATAGCATCGCCAGGCGAATCGCCGTCCTATAGAACTTACCTTTTAGCTTTTGTGGCACCCTCTTATCACAGAGAACGCCCGAAGCTTGACGCCATTTCGACCAACCAGCTGCAATTCTATGCCTAACATCTTCATCAATGCCGCCATCCTTTTGTAGTATCGATCCTAAATACCGGAAAGTCTCCTTCTTGGCCACCACTTGCCCGTCAAGGCTAACATCACCATCATCATGAGTAGCCATGCTGAAAGTGCACGTCATGTACTCGGTCTTCGTCTTACTAAGTCTGAAGCCTTTCGACTCTAACGTGTCCTTCCACAGCTCTAACTTCCTATTTATCCCGGCCCTACTCTCGTCAACTAGCACCACATCATCAGCAAATAGCATACACCAAGGGAGATCACCTTGTATGTCCCTTGTGACCTCATCCATCACCAAGGCAAATAAATAAGGGCTCAATGTTGACCCCTGGTGTAGTCCTATTTTAATTGGGAAGTCGCTGGTATCGCCCCCACATGTTCGAACACACGTCATCGCATCCTTGTACATATCCTTGATGAGGGCAATGTACTTAG